CCAGCCACTCCTCCCCAAGCCTGTAGTGTTGCATGGGGTTGTTGTGACCTAGGTGCAGGACTCAGCACTGACCTTTATTGAACATCATACCATTGGCCTTGGCCCATTGATCCAGCCTGTCCAGATCCCTCTGTAGAGCCTTTCTACCCTCAGGCAGATCAATACTCCTGCCCAATGTGGTGCTGTCTGCAAACTAGCTGAGGGTGCACTCAACCCCCTTGTGCAAATCACTGATAAAGATATTAAACAGAGCTGTCCCAAACACTGAGCCCTAGAGAACACCACTTGTGACCAGCCACCAACTGGATTTAACTCCATCCACTTTCTGAGCCTGGCTATCCAGCCACTTTTTCACCCAGCAGAGAGTGCATCCACCCAAGCCATGAGCAGCCAGTTTCTGCAGGAGAATGCTGTGGGAAACGGTGTCAAAGGCTTTTCTAAAGTCCAGATAAACAACATCCACAGGCTTTACCTCATCCAATAAGTGAGTCACCTTGCGATAGAAGGAGATCCCGTTAGTCAAGGTAAATAAGTATATCTCATTATGCCAAGCCTGAGGGATCTGTGTGAAAGTTCGGAGGAGAGTTAAAGACAGTTCTTTAGGCGGCAGAAGGCTGCAGTCTGTCAGGTTGGGCATTTCTTAGGGAAGGCTTTGGCTGTAGCCAGAGCAAGAAGGACCCAATCTGCCATGACATTTTCACACTCCTGAGCAGGAGCACCTGACTCTAGGGACCTCATGGCCAGGGAAGGTGTAGGAGATACATCTAGTATCTACCTCTAGCTCTCCTATGATCCTCCATCTGTCCTGTAGCACTGTGATTAATAGGCTTCCCATTAGGAGAGGAGGCAGTGCAGGTTGGTTGGCCAGCTGGATAGTTGGTTGGTTGGCCAGATGGCTGGAAAGTGTGTGGGTTGCATTTGGTCAGGAGGCTCCTGCTGGTGCTTCTTGCCTACCTGAGGAGGAGGAGGAGGAGAAGGATGAAGGAGCAGCACAAGGAGACACTTCTGGGCTGTCTGAGCCAGATCTACGGCTCTGCAAGCTGCCTTCAAAACTTAGGGCTGACCTAAATAGATGGGCAGGCAAAGGGTGTGAGAACAATAATGTTACTATGCACCATCTGATCTGGACCTGCCTGGCACCTTTCAGGAACCACCTACAAAATAACTCAAATTCTGCAAGACCCACAGATGCAGAGGCCAAGCCGATGGAGTTGTTGGCATGGCATCAGATGAAATTTTTATAACAACACAGAAATTCTCACTGGTGACAAAGTCCCTGGACAATGAGTTTTACTGTGAGTTACTGAGCAGGGTGGATTTTTAACTGTCTGTCTCCCTGATAGTTATTTAACAACCAGTAACAACTATTGAGCATGGAGCCAAGGGTATATCTTGAAGGTCAAGTGAGATGTCAAGTGTTGAGCTGATAGGGAGGGGACATAGGGCACAGAGTGGCTAAATCCATATTTGTGGGAATTTGGAACAAAAATTTGAGTTTGGGTAATAACAAAACCAGGTGCCTAATCCAGCCCCCCACCTCTGCATCTTCTGTTTCACTGGTGGAGGGGAGAGAAATGCCTTTCTCAGGTATTTCAGAGATTTCATGGTAAGAGGGGCCATGAACATTTGGTCTGACACTCTTTAGCAGAGTGGGGAAGGTAACTCAGAGGTTTTTGCAGGGGAAGAAACTGTGGAAGTTCAAAAGGGAAAGTGAATTGGCCACAGGGCTGCAAGTGGAAAAAAGTGAAAGGGGACAGAACTGGTCATTGTAAGAGATTGGGACAAGGCCAGAAACAATGTGCTTGACACCAGGAGAACCTACAGCCCTGTTGCTCCCAGGCACCCCAATTGAAGTACAGAGCCTCTGAAAGAAGATATCAGCATGAAAAAGCAACTACAACAGTCTCTTGATAACCAGAGAGGTCTGGGGAGGTTGGCAGGGCGAACAGTCTTGGTTTAACCTTCTGGACGTCTGAGGCTGCCAAAACTATGACTGGGTGTTAAAGGACACTTGGAAGGTTGACAAATATTTGCAAAGAGCCTCTTCATAGTTGGCTTGGTGCTGTGGATGTTCACATGACAGCAGTGTATGCCATGACAGGTCAGGTCATAAATGTAAAAAAACCCAAACATTACACTGAAGATTTCCCACCCCATACCACAACCATGGATGCATCAGGCTGTGGAAGTTGCTTCCAGGGTCTTGGGTGTCTCTTAATTTAGACACCTAAACAGAAGAAGGAGAGGATCTTCCTTGCTGACTTAACTGATATATTGGCATCCATTGCAGAAGAACTGTTTTACTGAGCAGGTGAAATTTAGGTGGCAAATTGGTACGTTGCCCCAGAGTGTGACCTTGCAGCAGCTGCTTTCCTGAGTGTGCCTGTGTTTACTGAGATAGGAAGAAGAGTCCAGGCCCATCTGTCCCTGTGTGTTCCTGCAGCGCTTGGTGCTGACAGATGAAATGTAGCTGTAATGCTAAAAAAAAAAATTAATAACTTTTCAAGCTTCCAAACACATGATATACGAGGAAATCACGGCAAGAGCCCAGCAAGTGTTGCAGAGTAATGTGAGCTGCCTGGATCCCATCTGATCACACATGTCTCGAGGATGAATTTATATCTGGAAGCATTTAATACAGCTGACTTACAAATACATTGCAATACTTATTTAATTTACAGGCTGCTTCCAGTGTGAAATCC